ATGGCAGACTGTAAACTCTAATTGTTCCTAATGGAGTCACCTCAGAGTGGTAAAAGGTGTGTTTTGTTTAACCCTAATTTCCCATTTACTCCCACTCTGGACTGAAAAACCAAACCACGCAGTTTTGTTTTCTTTCTACAGTGTTTCACTTTTCAGCTCTCTTATTTCAGAACCAGACTGTGGTCAGTGTCTGGCACTCTGAGGGGAACTCAATGAGTATATGTGCTTTTTCAAAATCAGGTGAAAAACTGTACACTCCATCAAGCCATGTTCCTTAATGTCTAACGATGGGCATTTCAGACTGAAAATCCTCGAGTTTGGTGGAAAAGCATCCACATGGCTACCTATTTGTTTCATGTATTCATCGTCGATTCAAAAGCATTAGGTGCTTTAGCAGATCAAAAATCTGAAATTTCACATGGTGTCAGGATGCAGTTCTCCCTGGGTCTCTTTTGTTTTTGAATATCTTAAGCGCAGAGACACCTACTGCCTTCATGCTGGACTAGTACTTCGAGGCTGGCTATATAGGGAAAAGCCTTGGGAGACAGAGCTAGTGTATCTCTCCAGAGTAAAGAGAAGGTTTACTAATTATCCAGTTTAATAAATATAATGTAGCTCCCTGGAGCAAAGGATAAGCATGCTTACTGCCCATTCTAAGAGACTTGGGTTCAGCGAGCTCACGGTTTCTCTCCCGTAATGCAATCTGCCACATGTGTAGGCATCACTTGGCCCTCTTTGTGTTACCCCATGGGAACTGGGGCTTGGGAAACTGGCACACATGCTGATAATCTGGATATTGCATTGCTCTGAGTGATAAAGTCTCTTGTCTCTGACCCAGGAGTCTTATGTCTCCTGAGGGCATCCATGGAACTGTGGCAGGTTAACATGCTAGCTTGTAATTAGGGGAAGATCTCAGACTTGACATAGCTCTTGACATGTGGTTCAGTCTATTAACTGAACACCTATTATATGGAAGACACTGTAGAAGGCATTGGAGATACCATGGTGAATAAGACACAGTCCCTGCCCTAATAGAACTTTCCACTGCCCTAGAGAATACAAGCCAAACAAAAAATCATCAAACAATATAAGTAAAACTAGTGATAAGTGCTTTGAAGAATACTGATTGGGGGTAGCAGGAGGAAGCTACACAGGGAAGATGGTCAGGGAGGGCCTCTGTCATCTATGAAGGTGACACTCAAGGATGAACTGGAACAGGCAAGCAAAGAGCTGGGGGGAGAGTATTTCAGGAGGAGGAATAGCTTATACGAAGGCCCTGAGGTGGGAAAGAGTGGAACTGAAGCCAATGTGGCTGGAGGGTAGCAAACAAAGGAAAAAGTGACATAAGATGAGTTTGGAGAGATCCAGGAGGGGGATGGATCATCCAGCACCCTGTAGGCATGCAGATGAGTTGGATTTTATTCTGAGACCAATAGGAATGAATACAAATTTTAAACAGAGGAATAGAATTCTCCAGCTTGCATTTTTAGAAGCCACTCCTACAGTGAGATATAGATTGCTTCTCATTGAGCATCTGGCTCTGGGGATGGTCTGGTAGAAATCAACATTCTTGAGGCCAAAGCTCCTGGTTCTCAAACTCTTATATCTTCAGGGATAAAGCAGTGAAGGTCCAGGGAGCTCTTTGCCACCACAGTCCCACGAAAAAGAGCTGGGGTCTTTGCACAGGCTATTTGCTTGGCTGGAAGGCTTTGCCTGAGGTATTTACCCTTATGTCTCAGTTTAGACATCATTTAGTTCCTAAATGTCTCTCTTCCTACTTTCCTCAATCTGGGTTTTGTATCAGTTCTTCTTAGTTCCTCGTAATTCCTATAATTGCCTTTTTACATCTCTATCTTCTCTCATCAAGCTCCGCGAGACAGACCAGATCTGAATTGTTCACCGAGGTGTTCTCAATGCTTGGTAGACAGTAGGTCCTTAGTAAATAGTTACTGAAGTGTGCTTGTGCATGCTATGTGTGGTGCATGCTGCACAGAGGAGGGTAGGAGAATCCCAAATAAGCAAAAACTATAACAAAGAGTATTTTTCATTAAACTTTCCCAAGGTCTTATATGTGAAGCATTCCTACAGTTTTTGAGGGAAAAACAATTATGTGGTACTGCCAGAATAAAAAGGGGCCCATCCTTCTTAGTCCTCTTTCTTCAACACCCAATTAAATATTACTACTAAGATGTTATCAGTTTTCCTTTTTATCAACTTGGTTTAAGTTTTCTTGAGAAAAAAATGGCAGGAGATGAGAGTCAGCTGAAGAGATGGGATTTTTACATCAGCAGAGACTAGTCTTGTGTTCCAAGAATGCCACTCTGTTGTCGCCAGAGATAAAACTCATTTTGAAAGCAGGTGCTTCTCTCCAATACACATGAAAAGACTTGTCTGAGTCAAAGGTATATTTAGTGTGACCGCTGGTTGACAGGTGTCTAACATCTTTCCTTCTGTTTCATATCACAGGGATTTTGGCGCTCCTGCCTGCTCTTTATGGAGAATGTTCTGATGATAGGTATGCGTGGGAGAACCTCTGAACCAAGTAAAACACTGTTCTTTGCCCTGCATTTCAGGCCAATTACTATCATTGCTCTATCAAGATGTCTGCCCAACTATTAGGCCGATTACCTTTGACTTTCTCTTTGAGCTACAGTCCAGACACGAGACATCCTCTCAGGAGAATTGCTATTCCCAGCTCTGACAGGCACGTGAGGGTAATGGCCTGGGGGAGGGAATCACACTACCACAAGGTCTATGTGGAGAAAGGAGAAGGGCAGAAGCCTTTTGTTAGATAATGTGGCTTCCAGAAAACTCGCTGTTCAGGAGGAAAGTGATTTATTTGGCTAGAATCCAAAGAAATCCAGCAGTCATGAGCGCAGGCTCTGGAAAGTCTGAATCCTGACTTCACCTCTTACTGGCTGCACGTGACCTTGGGCAGATGTTTAACTTCTCTCACTTAGCCTTGGCTTCTTCAACTGGAAAATGGAGAGAACGGTAAAGGTACCCACCTACCCCGTATGACTACTCTACAGGGTTGACCGAACTAGTGGAAACAGAGGTGTAATATGGCGGCTGGCGCATGGTCAATGCTCTACAAATGTGTGTTGTCATTGTGTGTTATTAACCATTCCACTGAGTCCTTGTAGACCCCAACTAAGCCAGCTGCTATGTGTGGTGCATGCTGCTATATATGTGCCAAGTCTTGAGTTTAAACACAAGGTGAGAAAATGGAAATCATTTCTCATCATGTTCTTAAACTAAAGATATTTTTAAATCTCAGCACCTCAAAGTAGTTCCAAATTTGTTTCCAGTCTGCTTCTTTTGTGAACTTGTCTCTGCCTTTTTACTTTTTTCCCCCCCATTGGTACATAACCCGATCCTGGAAATTTTCCTTCTGTGGAAAGATTCTCCAGTGACTTTCATTCTACAAAGTTGATGACATTACTTCTGAGCAGGGGTTGGCAAACTTTTTCTGTAAAGGGACAGATAGTAACTATTTAGGCTTTGCAGGCCATATGGTCTCTGTTGCAACTACTCAACTTTGCTGTTACAGTGGGAAAGCTGCCATAGCCAATATGTAAACAGATGAATGTGGCTCTGTTCCAACCAAACTTTATTTATAAAAACGGGCAGTGGGCCAGATTTGGCCCATGGGCTATAGTGTGCCAACGTCTGCTTTAGAGCATTTGGCTAGACATGGTAGGGCCAATCTTTCCTTAGCCGAGGAAATAAGGGTTGACTTCAACCCTATGGTCAATACCAAATCTCTACGTAATTTTTTTTATCATTCTGAAGTTGTGGCCACTGATGAAAAATTGCCACTTGAATTTCAGGGTGGATTACATAGATCTTTCAAGAATCAGGAAGCTCCTCAGAAAAATCCATGGGGCCAAAAGAGAAGTTCTTAAAATGCAGTCAATCTGAAAGCTGCTGTACAAAATTTAAAAAATTATTGGCTCTCATTTAGTGACTACCAACTCCATGCCAGACATGTTCCATTTGTCATGAAACTCACATCACCCTTTACTTTATGCATGTGGCCGTTACCTTTTCACAGGTGATGAAGTTGAGGCTCAGAGATATAAATGACTTGCCCAGTTAAAATGTGCCAAAGAAAATCTGGATTTAATCCTGGAGCTACCACCCCATCTAGGCTTCTCCATTAAATCTTGAGCTCTACAGCTAAACGCTGTTGAGACAACACGGTGTTATAGAAAGACTATGGACAAGGCCCAGAAGCCCAAGCCATTTTCATTATGTCCACATCCTGGGACCAGGAGAGACTCAGCTTTCTGAACCTCAGTTTTTTCCTCTGTGAAATGGGTCTAACAATCTGCCCTAATTGACAGAGGTTCTATCCAGGATCAATTATTATTATCAGGGAGATTAAAACCCAATGACAAAATAACTTTAATGCAAATATCCACAGCTTCTTTGATTGTTAAAATTCTTAGGATTTGTTGTAAAAAATGTTGCGAAATCTCAAGCTAATGACGCTTTTACGGGTTTATATGCACATATAATAGGAAACTTTGAATAAAACCTTCACTTTTCCCTTGATAGCCAATAAAAAGCAGGGTTAAAACATGACAAAAATGACAGGGGCTTAATGAAAGCATTTTGAGATTTATCTACGGGAATGAAGATACAATTTTTAAAATATCCATATCTTTTCCCTAGTTTATTTTTAAGTTTTTAAAAAACTTTTTATTTTGAGGTCTTCTCAATTTTTAAGAGAAATTTGGAGCTGCTGGAATGGCTAGTATTTATTGGCTCTACCGTGTGCTTAGAGGTTTACATACTTTTTTATTTAATTCTCACAACAGCCCTATGAGTCGGCACTAGTGTTAGTTCTATTTTACTATGAGGAAAGTGAAGTTGTAAAAGTCTGGTTATTGTCTTCGGTTGTGTGGTTAGGACTTGACCCAGGTAGTCTGACCCAAATCTTCACCACGATTGAATCCTCGGGACTAAAGGTGGCTCTTTCATGGTTTAAGCACATTCCTGTTTTAATCAGAGCTAGTTTTAGGTGGATGATTCTACGAGGCCTAAGTGAAGGATTCTGATTTGGTCTCATTGTAGTAGAAACTACCTTGGAAGATGTGTCTTCTGCAGAAAAGGCCAACACATTTCTATCCTTCCCTTCATGGCATATCATCTTGGAGAACTGGCACCTACCTAAGACAACGGTGTTGAAGGAAACCATCTCCTTGTCTTTGCCATCATTGTAGAAGGCCAGGTGCCACAAGCCCACATCTAGGTACTGCACAAACACAGCTTCATTCTGCACCAGGGTCTGAATGCTCCTGCGTTCCCTGGGTGACTCGACCACACTCCACTTCTCCTTCCCGTCCAGTCGCTCCATGAAGTCATACTGGGAAGAGGAGAGAGAAGCCACATGTGAAACAAGGTGTAGACCTGGTCCCATGACTAGCACCTTCCCCTCCCACCCCATTACTTAACTGAGAAATCCTTTTTAGTACATTCTCCTGTGAACTCATCTAGTAAAACAAGTCACAAAAGTTGTGACAATAACAGCCACCATTTCTTATGCTTATAATTATTGCCACTAGTTTTCTTACTGCAGGCCACAATCTCTTATCTGCAGTTCTGACATCCAGAACGCTTTAACCCAGATGTTTTCTTTCTGTGTGTGTGTGTGATAGAGAGAGAGACATGGGTTGTTGCTTCGGTCCCTGCTAGGGTGTTATATAGTGTATGCCATGTATAAGTTTTCTATAATTCTCCAAATTCTAAATTTCAAAATGCATCTGGGTCCCCAAGAATTTCAGATAAGGAATTTCGGGCCCATGTTATCAGCTACCATTTACTGATCATTTACCAGAAGAGATATAGCAGAGTGGCCAAGAATGAGGGCTCTGGGGCCAGACTGCCTGGGAGAGAATCCTGGCTATGGCACTTACTAACTTTAACCTGTATGTGCCTCAGTTTCCCCATCTACAAAACTGTGAAAATAATAGTGTCAATGTTATAGGGCTCTTGTGAAGATTAAGATAATATTTAGAACAGTGCCTGGCACACAGCAAACACAAAATACATGTTAGCTACCACCATCATCATTATCATTTCATGCAGTTCTTGAAAAAATCCTATCTCCTGTGACACTTTGGGTTTGACTCAGAAGTTCATTGGCAGGAAGTATGAAGAAATTTAAAAGTTGTGGTGGTTAGTGAATGAATCTGTGTT